AGTGCATCGTCCAAACTGGATTTGGCGTTCACGCATGTGCTTTCATAATGGGACAGCAAACTCTGCGAACGGACGTCACGAGATCTTCAAATTGAAGCAAAACCTGCGGCCTAGCTTTCAAACCTCTGCTATTTCATATGATTGGGATAGCCACCAGTGGGTATGCAGGATCTCGAGTCGATGTACATTGATTGCACTTCAAATATTCCATTGCGATTATATTGGTTGCACTAAGCAAAAATCGCCATACCTCATCGTGGACGTGCTGACATCAGTATGAATGAAATTTTAAAAAATGGTTAAACACAGCAAATACTTAGAATGTATTGGCATATCACTCATCAGTTAGAATCTAGCATCTGTCATATGATGAATCCCCTTGAGTTTTCTATCGGTCATGATAATTTCGCCGGAGTCAACAATTCTGCTGAATTTTCTACTCCTCGGTAATTAGCTAGTAACTACCAAGCGATGCAACGACCCCCTTACAAGAAAGACGAGTGGGAATATCAGTTGAATGAGCCAGAAAACGTTGAGACCTCAAATACTATCTCACAACGGATGTTCGACCCGAGGAGACAAACCAGCACAAACGCGTTTCTAGCAGTACCAGGCTATTATCGAAGCTAAACAATGATTTAAGAAAACATTTTCCGTTTCCATTGCCCAAGGAAACAAGCACAGGCGAAGCTGCACCTTGGATAATTGTGTTATTTGTCACCGGAAATTGTGAAGGTACAAAATTCCCTTTCGAATTGCGGAAATGTTATTTTCCCGCTGAAAAACGTGAGGAGTCACTGTTCGAAAAACGCGCTAAACATATCGATTTTGGGATTTCCAAATGCTTTGTATCAATATTGTGCAAAATAGGGGCGGAAAGGTGAGACCCTCCAGAAAAAGATGTATCATCGGAGACAATCCTGGGTATGTACCGGTACCTGGTACAGTATGGGGTCATCGAATGCAATATATTCCCTCCGAAACCGTATTTCAGAGCAACAAAGTTGAGGCTGAAGCGCTCACAAAAAGACAAACACGCAAAAGCACATCATGCGGAAATACAACGACAGTGATTGCAATATCTGCCCTTCCATTGCCTCGGAACTGGACTTGAGCAGCCTACTCATTGAAGACTCTATTCCAACGACAATTGGTAACGATGAAAGCAATGGCAGCTTCTCAACCGTTGATACCAACAATCTTTTCCTTCTCGCTGGTGAATCCAGCTTCAGCAGTTTAAACGTTGAGGTATCGGTACCAAGGAGCATTAAACAAAAGTCTCGGGCAGGGACCACACGGAAACCCGAGAGTAAGATCTCCTCATCCTCGTCGACCCACAGCAGACGAAGCCGCAAAAGCAACCACAATTCGTCCCCTGACAAGTACGATCAGGTTGGGACGACTCGCAGGGAAACAAGGAGAGAAGCTTCCTTTGAAGAAGGCACTGACAAACGGCAGCAATTGCGCCGTTCTTGCGAAAATTTGAGCTTGATATGGTAATGAGCGTTCATCACTAACAAATATCAACTGCCAAGAAAGGTTGAGCTCCAAATAAAGTCTGGTCAGGTGAAGGAGGATCTTGCTCTTTCTTGCCCCTGCCTGAATATAGCGGCAGCAATGCGATCAATGTCAACCGAAGAATTCAGCCAACATCACTAAAGAAGGAGACCGTGTTCCTTCTTGTCATATACAATTTTTGCTGAAGTGATCAATTCGTGAGATCCTAGGCAACCAACACGCGGCTTCAGTTATCGATAGACAGACTGGAATAGATAACGAAGTCACAAAACTGCGCTACTCAACCCGATATACCACAGTAATTAGTCTACACCTCGTCTTTGCCATTTCCGACTTCCCCATCGTCAATGTCATCATCTTGTGACGTATCGTCACTTTCGCTATCATCATCAAAAGTACCCGATCTTTCATTTGTGGCATCGCTCTGTCGAAATACCTTGAGTCCTTTGGCAAAAAGTAATCCAGAGAGTGTCAGCATCTCAATGCGATTACGGGTAACCTGGATGGAAGGGTGGAAAGAGACGCACTGGCCGATTCCGACTAGTTCACAATTAGGAACGAATGAATGAACAAGCCAGTTAAAGTCAGAGATACACATATGGGAGGGTACTATCTCTATAGAAAGTTAGACACTTACCCAACCCAGCCCATGCCGCGAGTGCCCAATTCGTCTGCCACTTGATATCCGATGGAAATGTCTCTGTTTCAGATGCCAACTTTAGACTAAACAGTAAACTTGAGACTAGTAAGAGTCGTGATACCGCTGATACATGGAGACTTCCAGTAAGAGAAGATAGTTCTAGCGCATCTTGATACTGAAGGGTTGAAATAGAAATGGTGTTAGAGCCATCATGGTGTTGATTCGATAGCCAGCAGTTGATCCGGCGATTTCTTACTCTATACTGAAAAATGGCTTGCATGACATTTGAAAGGATGGCAAAGAATATCACGAAAACACAGTTCCTGTAGAAGAGACTCTTCTTTTTGTCATGCACCTTCAATCCACGCCAATTGTCAGAGAGTCCATACTGCAATTCTTTGCGCCATCTCAGATCGGTGCAGTCCTTGAGCCAGCCTCCCAGAGCTACCACCAAACCACCTATCCGCACTGCAATCATTATGATACTTGTGACTACTGCCGGCAAGGCCGATGGCCAAAAGGAAGCCTCACCTGGGAATGAAAGCAGACCCAAGCCGCAAAATCCAACCAGACCTAGCTGACATCTCTTTTGGAAGCCCAAAAATTCATTTCCTTTTTCGTATTGATTAGACCTGGAGAGTACGTAAAAGACAAAAGCTGCAAGGCCAAATCCACCGGATCCTCCTAACTTGAAAGCAAGTTGCTTGGACAGCGTTCGGTCAGGCATCAGAAGGAGCAGTGCCGAAATCCACCCGAATGACCAAGCTGAAGCTCGATATAAGTCCACATATTCGTCTTCCTTCAAAGCTTGTTCTACAGCTGATGCACTAGTCAGAAGCTGCGTTGATGAATGCTGATGTGGGTTATTGATTTTGACTGACGACGATGATGATGCTGATGTCCTTGGGCAATGATGAACGAGTTGGCATGCTGGAATCAGCAAACTATGCACCTGATGGGAAGCGAGAAGCAATACGGTGATATAAAGCAATCTTCCTATTGATTGACTTTTTTTCATGGTAATGAAATAATATCGTGATGTACCGGTAGATATGATCGCTGCGCAATATAAACACTACTGTATGCGTATGGGGTTTATTTATTTCGGCAGTTTTTTTACATCCCCGGGGAAAAAAGAAGGGGAAAGAGGAAGATGAAATTAACCGCACAGCGTGCCCTGTAAGAATATCCAGTGCCTGTGACAAATGGGGAAGTGAGATGTAAACTTCCAACTCCAAAGATACTTCATGTATTTAGGGGAGACCCATCTTGCCACGGGGAGTCCATAGCTTAGTGGCACATCTCTACATTTTGTACAGGTACTGGATATTCTTATCCAGTACTACCTGTGACAACTCCAAAGATACTTCATGTATTTAGGGGAGACCCATCTTGCCACGGGGAGTCCATAGCTTAGTGGCACATCTCTACATTTTGTACATGGTAGCTTCAGGTTCGACTCCAGTGTGTCAGGTTGAGAGGGCCCGTCTAGGGGTACCCAATGAGGGCGACACGGTAGTGCTCAATCGCGCACGAGGATCTTCGTGGAACTTTCATTGATGTTTTCATACTACTTAAGCAAATGACTCCCCTATATAGAAGACAAGGAGATTGCGACACTGGGTCTTATGCGTTCAGAAATACGAACTGTCCATCCGCGGTACTCAGCCTTGCTGAATAATAGCTCGAAGCTGGAAAGTCCGACGGGGAGTGTAAGAATATCCAGTACCTGTGACAAATGGGGAAGTGAGATGTAAACTTCCAACTCCAAAGATACTTCATGTATTTAGGGGAGACCCATCTTGCCACGGGGAGTCCATAGCTTAGTGGCACATCTCTACATTTTGTACAGTGCCCGCGTAGTCACAAAAAAAACCAAGAGAGTAGAAGATGATAAAAGAAAAAAGGGAAGAGAAGATGAAAGAAAAGAGAAGAGAAGAATAAAGCAATAAGACTGTAATGTAGGGGCTATAGATTACAGTGTTAGTCTCGCGCATAGTGTCAAAAGACGACATGCGCTATGATCCTGGCGTTAGCCAGAATTATAAGCAAAAACCTTTTTTGGGTTCCTTCTTGCTCCTTGATGATGGCAAAGTTGATGGCCAAGAACGCCGAGATAGGAAAGTATCTTACAAGAGAATGCTCATAGATGATGCTTTCAGATTCTTGCATCGCATATTCTACTCGAACAAGAATACAATCCGCCTTGATGCACCCATTAGAGACAATGGCTTGATTCCAAAGGTGAAGAGACCAGCAGTAGTACGACCTAGCAGCTGCGCGCCTTCGGTTTCTTTTAGTGGCATTCTGCCATCAGAGGGGACTGAACGATACTCGACAATATATAGTACTCTAGCTAAAAGATTGAAAATCAGTGTCTACCATTTCATGTATCCGTCAACTCATGTAGTTCTACACAATTTCGGTTTCTTGTCAATCTACCACAGTCACAGTACTATCCCATTCTTTGGCAAGGCAGCTAGAAGTGATCCTAGGGGATTCACAGCGTTTCCTCGTGATCGAGGGCTAAGGTTGGTCATTAGCACAAGGTCCCTAGTCGTTCGATAAACAAAATAACCTGCTACGGCGGTATGGAGCTTGGACCTAACCTCCCCCTAACATAGGACGTAGATAGAGAGTACTAATTTAGAGTCGAGTGTATTTATTTTATGCTACATTGTGAGTTCCATTGGTCTGTAATATCGAAGAACCGTAGCGATACCACTAGCTGTCATCGCTGCCCGTAGTACTATTGTGGATTCTTGGCTGTGCGAACAGACGACTGTAGAGGAAGGAGCTGGTTTTTCCAAAATGACTTGATCTTCCTCGTTTTCCTCCTCCTCATCGTCATCATATAGATAGGCTTCTACTTCTTGTCGGTCACGACTACCAACAACTTGAGCCCACATTTGGCAACTTGAGGTTGTGCATCGGTAAGAATCGGAGATGGTTTGGACGTCCGTTTCCTCATTACCAGCGTGCCATTGCCTTGCTTGTTCTTCGAGCACTGCTGTTTTCGCAGCTTCTCTGTTGCCTCTCTTGCTGACGGAGCCCAATGTGGTGTGAGTCTCCAAGCCTCGAATGCAGTACTTGCCGCTTTTGGCGTTCCCGTCCTCGAGTTTTCGCAGAATCTTGAAGCATTTTCTCGCGATTTTGTCCATTTCATGTTCATCGTACCAGGTGGCACTTATTTCGCTAGCAGTGTAATCGTAAAGGGTCAAGACTTCATGAACCTTGACAGTCGGGTTGATGGTTACTCTTCTTGTGTTTGGCATTTTGATGTTGCTGTGATGTCAAATTCTTTTTGTGAGATATTTTGCATTCATGTTGACTTCGGGTTCCTCTCTGTGGGTCCAATGGCCAAAGGCCAATGGATAGTGTATTCGCGATCCAAAACTCCGACGATGCTGAAGAAAAAGAGATCCCACGGGTACATCGTCCACGTGTACGTCCTAGCAGCAAGTACTTTCGCTCTCTACCTTTTGAAACTTGAAGATACACACGGGATATCTTCCATTGAAAAAATACTAATAGCCGCACACATATAAATTCCATTGACTGGCTATATCCTCTAATATATACATTTCATGGGAGGCATTTCAATCCACCGAAGTGACATGCGTGCCGAGAGCAATGACAACCCATCCGACAAGGCATGGAACAGAGGAAACGATACTATTCTTTGATGCCTCGCGGCACGGAAACATCCATTTCTCAACTGCGGCTCTTTCCCAAATTGTGGTTCAAAATTCACGCTCCTCGACGGTATTATTGACATACTTGGGTGTCTTTCAGTACTCACATGAATACTGTAGGAAGTGAAGACTTGAACAAGTTTATTTGCGCACCTGAAATCGATCTCTACTTTTTGCTTTTGCTTTTGCTTTTGCTTTTTCGGCGAAAGGCCTATGTTACTCTTAGCGGGGAAAAGGTTGAGCGTTTCACGTACTACTGTATGATATGTATGGTATATTCATACAGTACCAAGAACTTTTCTTGGGTTGAAGTTCCGCCTGGCTCATTTCTTTTGACGCTCCTACTTTGTCACAAGGTGAAACTGGTTCAACCAGTATCTAATATGTATACGTGGCTCAGCAGTAATAAATCTTTAGTGCGGGGGTAGAGAAGTCGCAGGTCAACGGATAAATCTGTCATGGAACCCTTCTTTGAACGAATTTCAATTGTGGTGTATTCTCCCAAATGGCTCATCGTTTTGAGGATGTTCTCTGCTCGCACCGCATTCGCCTCACAAATTAAGAAATATCCATACTTGAAACACTCCGAAAAAATCCACTATGCCAATCGACAGCAAAATTGGGTTTGCTTTCAGCTTCAAGACATCGCACATTCGCAGAGACCTCAAACGTAGCACCAGTGCGACCACCGTCGAGACTGAATTATCCTTTGAAAGCTCGGATACACCGGAAGTAAAGCCAAGGAGCATCCTCAAGAATACGAGCTATATCACATCAAACGTTGATGACTCCGTCGAGACACACTTCCAGGCTTGGATGAATCCACCAATTTCAGACTCTCTACAATCCAGAACTCCTTCGAGAAGGTGCCGAAGGAGAAGAGATCCCACGGGTGCAACTCCCAACAAGTATGATCGAGTCAAGACTCGTTTTCCCGGCAGAGAAGACCGCAAACAAAGAAGACCCAAAATGACACGAAGACGAAAACAGCAACCAGAAAAGACTGTCGAAGAGCAGTGGGTGAAGACTTCCAGGTTTTTGCTGTGAAGGGGGGTCGTGCTCTTTCCGAGTACAGCACACACGCATTCTTGTTCCCCACAATTGTATAAAGTATGGAATGTCAAATAGCATTTCGTCCACTACGCCTTCGAGAATGCTCCCTAGACGAAGAGATTCCATAAGCTCCAAAACCAACTAGTCCTACATACCCATGCATGCAATGTTCAACATAGAGGTAGATGTACTATAACTTTAGAGCAAACGTGCAACGGCAACGAACATTAGAACTCCAAAGCTTTGCCGGATATTTCTATACTTCCCAAGCGAAGACGACGATTGCTGTCCAACCAACTGATTGACAGAAGATATAGAATCCTCAACTTCTTTGTTTAGTTGTGCTGGTTGATTTCCGTCTTGGTCGCTATTTGGATCCGAAAGCTCTAGAGTGGTCACTGCGATTGGAGGTGCAACTGTCAGCGGCGATGACACTGAAATGGGCGATGATGTACTAGGTGCAGGTGTTGATGGCAAACTAGGCTTTGGCGTCGAAATCGGCATCCCAGTCACGTATTTGATTGTGATTGGTGGATTCACAGGTGGTAAAGATCGTGAAGATGCGATACTGTTACAACAGTGCAGCTGTAGATATTGGATATTGGTAAAAGAAAACCTTATCAGTTAGTGATCCTATTGTTGAACACAATCCTTTGGCATTCGTAGTGACGTACCTCTACTCCGTGGACTGTTGGACAGCAAGTTCCTTCTAGACCAAGAGCTGCACACGCAGAGTTCTCCGAGCAGAGCTGTCCAATGGAAGGTGTCGATACTGCTTGCTGTCCATGGCAGCACTCGAGCTGAAATGGTTTCAAGCCATGTGAGACTATGCACCTTTCTACCACGCAAACACACACTCCAATAATCTTACATTCTTTGATCCAAAATCGGGCGGGCAACAGTTTCCTTCTAATCCAAGAGCAGCACACTCTGAGTTGGCGGAGCACTCGCGTGTCTGGGACTGTGACCCGTCGTTGCCGCCACCACCGCCACCGTTGCAGCAGTCGAGAAAGACGCCGTCAGTAGTAGGGCAACATTCTCCCAAGAGTCCACTACAACTTGCATGTGCCGAACATTGCGTAGCTTGCTGCGCCATTCCGTCGCAACATTCGAGCTAAGAGATCACGGAGAGAGAAAAAGGATTTTGTTAGCAACCTAAAATTACCTTCATTGAATGTCCATCCTATCCATCAAACATCAAATGCCTTACATAAACTCCTTCAGCAGTAGCACAGCACAGCCCTGTCAGACCAGCTGCCTGACATGCCGGATAAGCGTCACAGGCAGCCACAGGAAGAGCGACATCAGAGTAGCAGCATTCCAAAAAGACACCATCTTGCGTTGGACAGCATTCCCCAGAAAGACCCGAGCACGCAGCGTGTGCCGAACATTGCGGCGCAGCGTTATCAGCACTACTACCCATAGGAGTGTCAGCAGGAGTGTCCCCAGAGCAGCAATCCAACTGAAAGAAGCGATCGAGTAGTAGTTAGATAAGAAGGCTCCGAGGCGATGAAGAAACCGTTTGCAATGCACGACGACGGTCGACTCACAAATACCCCTTCAGCAGTGGGACAACAAGAACCTGTCAATCCCAATGCATTGCAACTCGCATTCTCCACACAAGCTTCACTTATTACGCCCGATCCTTCACAACAAGTTACTGTTTGTTGGTAGCAAATCATAGGTGTGAGAAAGAACATTACTATAGTCATAAATGGTCGATTCGTATCCAACTACATTGTTGAATTCTCCAAGAAACTCACGAGAAATTCCGTTTGGAGTAGGACAGCAGTCTCCCACAAGTCCACTGCAAGCGGGATTTGCAGAACATGCAAACTGACCATCTACAATGATCACTTGGGAAAGTAATATGAACGTCTTGATTGTCCAGGAAGTCATCGTCATTATTGTTGCTCGTGTGAATTGTTGTGAAGATATATTGTGTTGATATCTGAAAGCTATCGGTAGTATCGATGCGAGGCCGCACAGCTACGCTAGCAGGTGATGGGATTATTTGTTTTATTGTATGTGGTGGGTTCGAGCCGAATACCGGTACAGTAGCCTTGCCTGTTTATCTATATCGGTAGGTTTATTGTTTTGTCGGATCGACGTTTTCCAGTAAACATGGGAATCAACTCACATGATGTGTAAATAAGAGCACATAAGGCAATTTTTTCGCACACGAACTAAACAATCGATTCAAAACGACCCAACCGTCAGTATAGCACGAGTTGGACGACCCTCTCATGCCGATGCCAATTTGAAAAAAATATCCAGCCAAAATAATGTTCTTCACCAGACCCATAGAATGAGTTCGGAACAGTGCATTGCTCACCCATATGCACCTCTTGCCTTTCTTCCTGCGTGTACTACAGTATCCAATGAGCACAATACGTGATTATGCATCTACATTATCAACGACGACGATCCATCCGCACGATCATCAGCCATCTGCCTTGGCCAAAGCAAATTATTTCACAACGATAGGAATCAATCGTTCGACCGCAGTAAGCCGAATGCTGAAATAGAAGATGTTGGCGTCTTGAACAAGACTGCCGACCTTCTCTTGGAAGTCTGGATCTCGACGGCTGACTAATCATCTACCATCACGACCACGGGAAACGACGAGAAACAGCACTTGCTCAAACAACTAGGACTATGTCCAAACATGGGATGACAAAGAGGGGGGTGAAACTGAAGATGTCGCCTTGCACCGTTGAAGCCTTGCACCGCTGAATCATGGAAGACTCGATGCTAGGACTATGATGAGAAGGACTGCTTGCAATTTCAGACTGCTTCTGCGGCAGTAAGAAGCAGGGATCGACGATAACGCAAGAAATGTACGGCTGTGAACCTATTAGCCGTATCAGTGAATGGGAGATTGATCGTCGGTTGCACAACAATCAACAAGAGGATCGTGGGTGCGTATTATGATATCGTTGCCTTCGTTTATTCTAGATGTCGCAATGTTACTAAACGGGGACAACCACGGAGGGATTCATTCATCAGTTCCAATAGAAACAAGAGGTCGTACAGTGTGTCATAGTACCGATATCGGATCGTAACCACGTGTATCGACAGTTGAAAACCGCTTGGGCGCTGGTGAAAACTGTATAGTCTCTTAGAATTATGCCAGAGAACTTCAGGAATTATTACACTTATTGGCAAGGCATAATCCGATAGAATGACCGACGCTTTCCTAAATAGGTGCGGGAAAACGATTTCTTTTGGGACAATTTCAGGTTAAAGAAAGTCATAGGACGTTAAATATTAAAAAGACCCCGATTAGACCTGGTGTTTTCGTGTTCCTACGTTTCGGTCCGGTAGTTGTGGAGCCTGTGTTCCAACGAAGACTTTCACGTGCGTGTCCCGGTAAAACTCACATAAAAAGTTGGATTTACCAGATTTGAGATTGACAAACGACTATGACTGCCATTGCCGTCTCCACCCCATTCAAGACCATGCAAAACCCATTGAGAAAAAAGAGCCACCGTTCTAGCATATCACCACCACCAAGACAATTGAGTCTCTCCACTGATGAAAATGATATTTCCATCTCCTTTGAAGATCTACAACCGCCTGCGGAAAGCAAATCCAATCTGTCCATGTCTTGGCATCCTCGATCGAGAAAGGAAGTCCGGAAAAACAAAACGAAAATGGGTTCCAGACACCAAAGGAAATACTCGAGCGAAAGCATCAGCGAGGACAGTGCAGCCTCCATGTTCTATGTGGATCCATTTGGCAATGACTGCGAGGATGTAGAACAATTGGCAGAGCGAGGAAGGAATATAGAACACCAAAGACAGTCGCGACGCAACTCTCTTCCACCGGCTGTGTGCAAATCGGAAATGCACACCGCCTCTACTGCACCATCGCCGAATGTCATGATTGAGCAATCCCGTGAATCCTTTGGTGAGGAGGACACTGCTGCCCGACGTCGCCGGGCACCAAGACGACGAAGTGTGGCTGGAAATCCTCGCCGATGCAAGGCTGTCGATCCTGATTCCATGACTGACTACAACAACATGTCCATGTCGAATCACTAGTAAAGAGAGGCCGGTACTCTGCTAGCTGGAGTCATGTTGCATTGTTCACATAAGTTGGATTGGACTATTGGTATGGTATCTGTACTACAACGGCGTTTCAATTTGTTGCAAAATGAATGCACTGTGGCAACATGACCAAACGATTTGGTCAATTTATATATTTTGAAAAAAACCATAAAACTATAATCAGGGAAATAGAATGTAAATCATGGCCTGATCAGTGAGTATAGTAGGCTTATGGACTTGGAAGATCCAGGATGCTGGCTGTACTTTGATCAGCCAGGTAGACTAGAGCATTCTTTCTTTGGTAGTGCATCTGTGCAATGCCGCCATAATTGACCATTCGCTGAAATAATCAAGACTAGTACATGTATACGTTGACCATCTTATGAAAGCGCCTTGACAGTTCCATACAGTGGCAGAACGCTGAGACATGGAGCAGTGGATACTTCAGGCGGATCGTCGGAGCCAGGCTTGTACTTGTCGATATGGACCCATGAAGGTTTTTTACCCTTACACCAAGAAACGACAATATAAATTCACTTCCAGTTCCATTCCAACAAGTACGACATGATCCAGCAAGATGATACCGGGACGATGATATCGATGCATGTCAGCAGTCAACAGTAAAAAGCGGAGGAGAGGTTTCCACTCGAGTTCATCTTACGCTGATGGATGCTTTGACTTGGGACATGAAGAAACAACTCATTTTTGTCACTGGGCAATATGCATCATTATAATAGACAAATATTGAAGCGATGAGCTGGCTTTATTACTGTAGCATCTCATATTATTTCATTGCTTCTTTCATTTTTTGGGAGGAAGATACGGAAATTATGATTGGCTTACTTTTAAAAAGACGCACTTTTCATTTCCCTTCCAATGAGACATTTCGTATCAACGGAAATACTGAGATGGTCGCAGATATCCAAATTCGACCTGTATGGTGGCACAAGCCCAAGGAACATTAAATGACATTGTGACTGCACGAGCTTTTTTACAACCTCCTGTAACCTTTGAACTTTCTCCTCCTTTTTTTTTTCCTTGCCTTTTTTTTTCGTCTTCGAAGGACACAGGACCTCGCATCGATCTTATTCATCGTCTGATCGTGAAGGCAAGGTCACAGTAAGAGTTTGCCTGTGTATCGCCACACACAACTAAAAATACTTAGAAAAGATGGTGAATACCGAAGCTTCCAACGGGCTTCCTGCACCAGCGTATGTGTCTGATGAGGATGAAGAATTGGATGATATGGAATATTTCTATCCGTCTTCGACGAAACTCTCCGTCCCTGATGATGATGACGACGATGACGACGACGGAGAGAAACCTCAGCCACCAAAGACGACTAACATGGAGAAAAAGAAGAAGAAGAAGACGACTAAACCTAAGAAGAAGAAATCTAAAAGTTCTTCAGGTATCGTTATTGACAAATCGACAGACAACGTAACCGGATTTCTGGATCTGCCCTCGCCTGTTAAGAAATCAGATCGCCGTTTATCCTTTCCTTTGCAGAAAGCGGATATGGAGGATGAGGATGATGCTGTCGATAGTGCATCTGCTGAACTGAGGAACAAACATAGCGCCTTGCACAAAGACGACGATGATGATGTGGATGTGGATGAATTATTTCAGGTCTCCACACCAAGTGGCTCATTACGAAAGAGTAGCAGCATGGACAGCCCTGTTGGAAGTAATATGTCTGCCAGCCAACGGCGCAGGGCGAAAATTCCAAATGCGCCTTCGGAATCAAAGAATGGAAAAATCTATCTCACCTCACCTGCAATCGCAGCAGCTTCTAGAAAATCGTCGAATGTTCCGACACCGGATGCACTCGGTTATGAGGACCCCGACGCGGCGTTTCAGAATGATAAGTCACCGATACGTCAACATTCCACCAATATGAATAACCATCCACCAAGTCGTCAACGGTCTTCGGATGGGTCAAGAATCAGGAAACAACCAATGCGCCGTGGATCCACCACCATGGACGAAGACCAACCGGCAGTAACTAGACCACCACCCGTGCGTCGAGGATCGACCATGGACGCCGTCCAACCACCACCTCCGCGTTCGAAGTCCACCGTGGATGCTACCTTTACCTGGCAGCCACGAGCGCCACAACAATCAAGTCGGCGACGCTCCAGTATGTCTTCCATGAAACCAAGTGGCGGCGGTGATGCCAATGCACTGTTTTATGTAGACCCGTTTGCCAAGACCAGCAAAAAGACGCAGTTGGAGCAGGGAAAAAAGATTGAACAGGAACGTGTCACTCGTCGTAACTCCCTTCCAAAGGCGGCCATGATTTTGGATCAACAACCGAACGAAGTAGCAACGCCAACAGCGACACCCAAGATGAGACATTCCAAGTCTGCCGATTTTGATAAACCATTCTTTGGCGGCGACGACGATGATCCGTACGACGAGGAGGGGAATCTCATTCGACGCAAGGCACCTCGCCGTAGAAGTGTGACCAATACACCCCAACGATTCAATGCGGTCGATTCGTCGGCCGTGACTCCCGAATTCAATTGGGATCGAACGATCCGGCTGGAGAACAATATGAAGGAAGCCATGCAAATTGACCCATTCGAGGATACGGAAGAAGATCTGAACACCTCGGACAGGCTGAAAGGGTTTCCCAGTGAAGCCAAGGTGATGTCTAAGAAGGGTAAAAAGAAGAAAAAGGGGAACTTGAAGGATCATCTCCGTAAAAGTAGTGGAAGCAAGGGGTCCAAAGATGGAAAAGAGGTGGCCTCCATGGGAAGTAAGAGTTCCGCCAACACCAAAAGCACCGCGGGAAGTTCGGATCCAGCAGGCGACTCCCTACTCTCGGGTATTCATACTAGCGATTTCAAGAAAAACAAGCCGCGGATGGAAGCGCTAAAGGGAGGCGGCGAGGGCGCCGAAGAGAAACGGGTGGGACGCAGTGTGTTGACGTTGGGCAGTCCGAACGACCCCCGCCGTCGATCCAAGAACCGAGGCAAGAGTACCGAAACACCCGAAACGCCAAAGCAGAAGAAATCTTTATTGGACCGACATAAGTCAACATCCCCAAGACGGGGCAAGAAACCGAAAAGTGGGCGGTTGCTCTCTGGATCTCGGGGACTATCCATTAGCAACCACTCTACGGACCTCTCATCGGATGATGATGACGAACTCTTGTTGCAAAACAGCCCAAAACGGGCTTCCGAAGGTTCAACTAAGCCCAGGAGGACAAAAGAAAAGTCGAATCGAAAATTCGAGCCACCAAATCGAACGAGATCTGATGCTGGACCAAGAGCCATTCGGATATCCATGACTGGGGATGTGGACCTACTTGGCGATCCTGCATCGAAAGAGTCGTCGATGCGACTACTTCGAAGCACGTCAATTGACGAGGATGGAGAATCCTTGGACGGGGAACCGAACTCTTCTGTCCTTACAGCGCCAAGAAATGCGGATCAAGAGGAGTCCCAAAAGCGCAACTCTGGAGGTGCCAGAAGACGACGATTGTCAATTGGCAACACCAACAAAACTCAGGCCCGAACTTCAAAATCGCCAAGTCCTCGGAAACCGACAGTAGCTCATCGCTTGATGGGTAGACGCAATAGTCTATTCTAGTAGTTTAAGTTAATACTATTATTATACTAGGATACGTATAGTCCTATGTGAGAATGCGAGCCAGAGATTTGCTTGTGTGGAACGGAGTTGGATTGGAAATGTATTATGGTCAACAGCGCAATTCCAGCTGTTTGGATCGAAGCCCCTTGGGTCTTGGACCTACGTCAGCCTTTTTACTTTACCACTCCGATCGCCGGATTCAACCTTGCCTTCCTCATAATGCTGATAAAGTTTTAAGCGTCCAAGGCCACGTCCGCAAATTCAGGGAACACGTCATGTGTCGGGACGTCTAATAGGAACTCTTGCAAAAGGACTCTGTCATTGTGGCTGTGGACGAATAGATCCAACATTTTCGATGGGGTCAAAACGAGCAAGTGGCTTCTCAAGCATTGGCAAGGGTTGAGGAAGCACTACTGCTTGTGGTACTGTTTGAATGGTTTCCTCCCCCTGACATCCGAATTGGCAAAAGCTCCGCCAATCGTCGAAAGATGGAGTCATAGTAGAGAGGAGTACAAACGTGGTGCGTGCAGTCAATTTTTGTCATTCCAAGAATTGGGTCGGGGTATGTCTCGAATAGATGTTGCTCCGCCTCATTCATATTATAGGAATGGGATGTCTGGAGCATGCTTCTCCAACCAATTTCGAGGAGTCTCTGTTCGCCAAAAACGACTTTTTGATGTAACATCGAGACAGCCAACACTTTTGTTGGAAGCAGACCCAATGACAAAGGCTTCGTAAGACTCATCACTGGAGGCTGGGAAATGCTGGACTGTCGAATCGCGCCAAATAATAGCATCGCGGATTATTGCAAAGAAAGACAAAGCGTCTTCAAGAAACAATTTCATCTTTTATGGATTTCCTGCATGTAATCCATGATTCAACAGGAAAATATCAGAAGGGGATGAATTGATTGTCAAATTCAGAAAGCGAGATCGACGAGCTTTATTAATATGATTCTCCTTTATTTTTTGGCAACCCAAGCAAAACAATTGGTCATGAATAAATTGAAGGATGATTGTTTTATTCAGCGTTTCAAACTTGATTCTTGCAAGTATGTATCCCTCCGTCAACTCTTTGTCCGATTTGCAGAGAGGATGCTTATATAGTGCTTACTTTTGTCATTGGACATACAGCTGGCGACCTTTCCTCCTAAACCGAACAAAACCGCATAGAAAGCCATAAAAGAGCTGCCGTGCTGTAGAGTCACCAAAAATCGAAACCACATACTCTTCTTGAGAACCCTTCAGCTGGCGGAGGGAATCAATCGACAAGAGTTTTTGCCTGAAAGGGTGGCATCCTTTCTCTGTTGCTCCCAGTAACCTCAACTTTTCTCAATATGGAGATGTGTCCATTAGATTAATTCCAAACCAGCCATAAATGTGGCCATTCGGACAACATGGTCCTGAAGTACTGGAAATTCTACGTTTCGCCTGACCTTGCCATTGCCAGGGGTTTTGAGGATCCATGACGTCGCCGCACTCTTTGGTGGCCATACCCTTGATTTCTGCCGGTGTGAAGTACTCCTCCAAGAGGTCTTCCGTCAGATACTCCCACTTGCTAGCAATGCCAGTCGGAGTGGCAAATGACAAGCCGTCATCCAAAGTCCGACTGTTACTGGAAGAGTTGGACGTTGTTCTTTGAGTAAGTCCCACTGCACTAGAGGGGTTTTGTGGCGAGTTTGGGTGTTTTCCAATACTCCTGTTCGACGAGTTGGATGGTGGTTGAGGAATTTCTTGCGATGAGTTTCGGTCCGCCACGATGCTTCCACTGGTTCCTGCTAGTTGTTGATGATCTTCCTTGTTTGAAACCTTTTGGAAAGTCTGCAAGATCTTATTGTAGGAGCGCAGATTGTATGCTACCAAAACCGCAAGGATAACGGCAAGAACGAAAGTTCGTTCTTGGTTCACCTGCATATGCTTTCGTTTTGAAATCTAGCTAGCTAGATGATGAGTTTGATGTGAAGAAGAGATGTATATAAGGTACAGTATTCTGGACGCCGCAGGTATACGAACGTCAACGAATTCAGTCCGCCACTTGAATACACGAACACTGTTTGCGAACACCATATCACCAGTCCGTCATCACGCGTATTCGAAACTGTATGCAGATAACCACCCTCGCTCATGGCTGAAGACGAGCGGCCATGGAAGACGCCATCAGTGCAAATATATAAAAGATACGGGCGAATATCTAATATACTACACTACAGCTCCACATCATACTCGAACACAGTTCCATAGCAAACACACAGCAATATTATAGAGCCCCCTATTATCACTCACTCCTAGTAATTCCATCTATACTATCTTCTTATACATATGACAAGAGTATATCAGAAGCCTACCTAGACATCCATCCAATAATGTATCCAGCATCCCACACCAACCAAATACAAAGTGACTTTGTGCAGGCGCCATATCGAAGGGCAAGCATGATATGAATCGTCTTCGCCTTGTCATTCGGCCGCAGGCATGTCGGTCACTTTGTATTTGTTGTTGTTGGAAGCTCCAACACGCTGCTATCTTTTAGTTTGAAAAATGTTCCATTGACACTTCTTTGTTGTCAGGGATATCCATCACACTTCGCCGAAGCATCGATGGGAAGGTGGTAAGACTCTCGTCATGCTTTGATTTTTAAAATAAGAAGAATCAACTTTCCAAACTGCAGCGCGCTTGGCCAAATCGTTCTATCGCACAGCGCTCAATTTCCTCTCCTTCGTTCTACTGCCAAAGATCATGGAAATGAAATAGAAATAACCCAGTAGTACCAGCCATCACATATAGATAGTACCAGGTAGCCTTTCGTGCCAATCACAAAAACGCTTCCATATAGTAGTATTCTTTCTATAATTCCTGACTAGACTTGAGTTGAAAGCCCTTTTCCTCCATCTTCTTCACAATCTCAGTATGTGTGTTCAACTCATAGATAGAAACCTCTTCCACCTTCTTTCCATCCTCGTAAATGTGCATGACTGCCTTTTTCCCACGTTTCCATTGCACCTCGACCCCTTGATAATTGTGTACCTCGCCACCCTGTAGAAACGCCTTTAGCGCAGGGTTGCGATTCAAGGATCACCCAGAACTATTTTTTTTTAAAATTTGTAGCAATCGAGATATATACAGACACAAGCGGATATATGAGAAAAGACCAATGTTGCAATGGCAAAAGGAGAAGACAAATTGAAAATGGCATTATCTCAATAATGACCTGTATAGCTTGGCTCTTGACTGAAGGATTTTGCTTACCAGGAGATGATCTTCGCCGTTCGCGTAGCTGATGCTATCCAGGCACTACAAAGAACAAAGATGAGGAATATTATACTTTGTCGATAGGAATGCATGGTGTGTTCTTATGCGTAATGTTGCCTGACTTGTTATTATGTTCTATGCTATCTGCTGCGACGATGACTACGACTAACTCGACCGCTATGAATTGAGGATTACCAGTATATAAATAATACAGTAGTCCTCTTCCCTCTTCCTGTCCCATGGCATGATGACTCCTTCAAACCTTGCAAGCACCAGCCGCTTATCGTTTCCTGTGCATAGACCAGCACATATGACGCTTTACAGCTATATTACTTTGAATTCATTGATATCTATGATCTATGATACAGTATAATAGATATTATCTTGGAACAGTATAATAGATATTATCTTGGAACAGTAGATACATATAAAACATAAGACTAGAAATTATCCAATCTATCACAGTACAATGAGCACTTTAAAAAAGGGCGTGCGGTCCGTATCCATATAGATATGGAGAGAGAGACAAAATAACAAGACGGACTCAATGATTGATTCAGCAACTGCCTAAAAAGCAATCAACAAGAAAGAAGCAAAGATGCCAAAAAGCAATGTGAATGTCAAATTCCAAGCAAGACCTCCCGAGCTCTCAACGCATTTAAACCCGCTAAGTTGGGCACAGCTTCCGCTCTGGCAGTCGTCATCTTCAATACAAGTTTGGTTGATTCCCAATTTTTCCTTGCAACTGAAATCCACGGAGCAGAAAGCGGTGGTGCAGTCATCATCTTGAACGCAGCTCTCTCCAACTTCCCTCTTGGCTTTGCAAGTGAAATCGACAGAGCAGAACAGGCTCGCGCAGTCGTTATCGACAGCACAACCGCTACCATCTGCGTTCTTGGTGTCCAGGCACTTTTTAGTACCAGAGCAGTATCCGCCCTGACAATCGTCATTCTCGATACAGACTTCTCCATCAACCTGCTTTTCCTTGCATGTGAAATCCACAGAGCAGAATGCGGTGGTGCAGTCGTCATCTTCGGCGCAGGCCTCTCCAACTTCCTTCTTGGCCTTGCAAGTGAAATCAACAGCACAGAAAGTGCTTTCGCAGTCGTTATCGGCAGCACAGCCGCTGCCGTTTGCCAGCTTGGTGTCCAAGCACTTTTTAGTGCCGGAGCAATACCCACCCACGCAATCGTCATTCTCGATACAGGTTTCCCCGCTCACCTGCTTGTCCTTGCATGTTAAATCCACTGAGCAGAATGCGCTCTCACATTCCGTGTCCAAGGCGCAGACAGATCCGTTGGCTTTGCCTCCGGCAGTATGGCTGGCGCCATTCACGGTGCCGACGACGACGAAGGAGAAGAGTGTGGCGATAAAAAGTTTCATTGTTAGGTTGGAAAGTTACAGTACGGTAGAGTTTGGCAAACGAAAATTTATGATGAAAGTGATAATCTTTCAATCTTTCGGATCTTGCTTTGGTTCGTGGAGGTGGATGAAGCAATACGGTACTGTACTGTGGACTGTGGAGGTCTTTGGCTTCCAATCGCAGCATTACCGTGTTTGAAAGCAGGTGTCAATCTTTTGGATCTTTCGGAAGCAGATGGCCTTACAACCCGGTAACGGTATATTACCGGTAATTATAAAAAAACATATTGTGCTAGTTATATATTACTTCAAGATCAGACACGAAGAACATTCTTCGATCGTTTTTATGACCGAAAGACATAACGGATGATCCACAGACGGAGTATATCATATTTTTTGTATGGGAAATCAACCACGTTATTACGATACAATTGCAACTGTAGATATTTTTTAAAGATTAGGTACTGTATTATTATTTTGCATGTATGTAATGGCCATCATTGATCGTCGGGAGATTGCTAAAATTTAGAATTCGGCATTGACTGATCTTCTTGCGCTTGTTGCGTACACGTGTACATGTATCTTGGCGGTGGAAGCATCAACAATGAGTACTTTTTAAAAACGAACACGCAGTCCACAAACCAAGGCCGATTCGGCGACTCCCTAAAAAGCGATGAACAAGAAAGAAGCGATGGCGCCAAGCATTGTGCAGGTCAAATTCCAAGCAAGGGCTTCCGAGCTCTCGACGCATTTGAACCCATCAAGCTGGGCACAGACTCCGCTCTGACAGTCGTCATTTTCAACACAAGTTTCATTGATTGCCAATTTTTCCTTGCAAGTAAAATCCACAGAGCAGAAAGCGGTGAAGCAGTCATCATCTTGGGCGCAGCTCTCTCCAATTTCCTTCTTTTCTTTGCATGTGAAATCGATAGAGCAAAATCCGCTCTCGCAATCCCTGTCCAAGGCGCATGTAGATCCGTTGGCACTGGCGGTGTTGTTTCCGTCAGTGTTGTTCCCGGCAGTGTGGCTAGCGCCATTGGTACCGACGATAACTAAAGCGATGAGAGTGGCGATAAAAAGTTTCATGATTGTTCGGTTGGAAAATAATATTTCGGTTTGGCAAGCAAAATTATGAAAGTATAGAGTACACCATGAAAGTATAGTGTACAATATTCACTCTTTTGGGTCTTGCTTTTCGTTCGTGGCGGTGGATGAAGTATACGTACTGTTTATTGTTTCCGATCACGAAAGGATGGGTGTCACAATCTTTTTCGGATCTTTGGTTATCGGGCGCGAAAGAAAGTTTTTTGCTCTTTAACGGTATATTACCGGCATTTATTTTAGTATTATATGATATGCTTGAGCACTAGATTTCAAAATAGATGTTTACTTCAAGATCAGATACAACGAAGATAATTTACAGCACGTAGGACGCGAAAACAACCACAAAATGCTGCAAGATATATATAGTGTATGCTCCATAGTAGCTCATGCTGCGGTACAAGAGGAAATGAAGTTGTCATACTATAAACAAGAAGAAGCTTCTTTGGCATTCTGCCATGAGTGACGGTTCTCATCCCAAAATCGTTAGTCTATGGCGATCTCTGATCGATGCGCTTGGTTGAGTATAAAGTTTCAAGCAAGTGCAAAAGTCGTCTATCTGTTCTGTCAACACGATGAGATCGCCATAAAATAGATAACGCTGTTTTATTGTTTTGAATATTATTACACTGGGAAACAATGAAGAAGTCAGTCCGAACCGTTAGGAGGTTGCGAAACTTTTTTATATAAAAGAATTTGGCATTTCAGACTGGTTTCAGGTTTTCATCGTTCAGGTGATGACGATGATGGAAACGTACAGTAGTAGCTCCGTTGCACTTCATCAAGGAAGAAGAAAAGGAAAGAGATGAGTCTGAAGTCATTCGGACAATTAGATCCTCCGTCTGGCATTCCACAATTAATTATAACACAGCGTTGCGTTTTTAATTCGCACCTCACTGTATTTTATACGTGATGTCAGAAAATTGCGATGACTTCTTTGTATATTTCGTGCTACCGTATGCATAGTACATTGAATATAGCGTATATACCAATTCAACCAACTGCACCCCGCACCAGTCGTCAGAGATAGAAAGATAGAATATACCCTGAGCCATAATGAAGAAGTCTGAAGTTGGGCCATCATCGATTGTCAATGAGAATAATAATGCAAAACTTCAGAATTCGGCATTACAGATTGGCTGTCATCCTTCAGGTGACGACGATGATGAAGTCAGCCAAAGCATCGAACTAGCTTCATTGCACTCTTCATCAAAGAAGATCAAAAAGAAAAAGAAGAAAGACAAAAAATCAAAAAGCTCCAAAAAAGCTACAGATGAGACGGATGAAAGTGTTGTCTCGTCACCAAGACTAAAGAAAAAGAAACGCAAAAAGGCGAAGGATGGCAAGAAGAAATCAAAAAGAATTAGTAAGAAGGACTGCCAATCCCAATCCAGCTGTTCGACTTTCGATTTCTATTCTTCTATCTCAAGTATCGAGACATTTGCGTTTGATGATGTCTCGGAACAATCAGATCAAGACAGCTGTTACAAATCAACTACTGGATATGCCCATACTCCTGTTGGACGCCCCAAGAAGAAACTTGAGGTACCATCATCTGCGCCATTGGGCAAGGAACGCAACAAAAGCCCAGTGGCAACGAAATCACCGTCGGCATCTTTGGGAGTATGGAAGTTATCGCCGAAGCAACCAGAGCCATCCATGGCTGTTAGACGAGCAAGATGTACGAGGAGAGCATCGTTGGCGGGTGCATCCATGCTGAATAATTCATATCATGGCTGTACGCCAACTTTGACGAAGCGAATGACTGCAAAGATTGAAAAGAGCCTGCATGATTCCATGCCAGACTTGTTTGCGTCACCGGGAAGAGGGTTGTTGGCGGATGCATCACCAGCACCAGGACGAGGTCGTCGACGACACAGGCTGAAGTCTGATGATAACAAGGCATGGACGCCACGAGCTCCTACATTGACTAGAAAAATCTCTTCCAAAAGCCTAATGGATGGAATTGGCAATAGTTTGATGAATAGTTTCGTTAGTGGAAGCGACTCGTCGCTTGATTGTCCATTCAAGAGTCCAACACAACACAAGCAAGCACCAATACCCCTGTCCATTCCCGACCTCTGCGGCGATTCCTCGGACGATGATGATGGAGACTTGGCATATAACAATGCAATCGCTAGGTTTATCGGACACGGATCAAACAGTAACGTCGACGCGGGTAAGGACGACAATCCATTTGAACTTGTCACGCCTTCGCGGCAATCGTCCACCTTGATGGACGGCCGACAGCCCAGCAAAGCATACTTCGAGCATGAAAATCGAAAAATTGGCAGTATTGTGACTAGCCGCAAGGGACTTGGAAGCTTGTCGTCGGTCAAGGGACTTGGAAGCTTGTCGTCGGTCAGCCCAATGCCCAACAAGACATCCAATGCATTTCATGCTCCCGCAACACCGCCAGTTCAAGAGCACGATGATTCTTCGGAATCGTCTTTTGCCACTGACGGATTCTTGACTCCGACCGATCATGGGCCTCTCAAAAAGATGATCCTCGATAACCATATTGGTGAGAAAAATAATAATACTGACGACGACGATCGTTCACTGGATGTCGCCGATATTTTCGTAACAGCTTCAAATCCATTGCCGACCGAAAATGGCCAGGGAGATGTCGGAAACGTCGAAGAATCTCACTCTGATAGTGAAAGTGACTTTGGCTTCGACAGTCCATTTGGTGCGGTGGGCGATGAAACTTCGAAAAAGATTGTTAGGAATAAAAAGCTAAGCCGGAAAAATCTTGCTCCAACTGGCAGTTTCGGCGAGGATATGAATCGTAGCTTCCACGAAGCGTTGAGTATCGATCCATTCGAAGCGGAAGAGTTCGTGGCCGAACCATTCTCGCAGCCAGCATCAAGGAAGCATCAGAATAGCTTTCGCGGAAATGTTCTTGCTCCAACTGGCAGTTTCGGTGAGGATATGAATCGTAGCTTCCACGAAGCGTTGAGTATCGATCCATTCGAATCGGAAGAGTTCATGACCGAGCCAATCTATCCACAACGAGTATCAAGCAAGCAAAAGAGCTTCAGCGGTAAAGTGCTTTCTGACACTGGGAGCTTGGGTGGGGAAATGAATCGCAGCTTCCATGATGCTATGAGTATTGATCCATTCGAATCGGAAGTGTTCAAGGCCGAAGATTTTGGCACCGAAACGAACGACTTCGGTTGTAAGGTGGTGTCGACAAGTAGGTCTACAAATGGTGGTTCGATTGAGGGCATGAACCAAAGCTTCCACGACGCTTTGAGCGTTCATTCATTCGAGTTGGAAGAAATGGGCGGTGCAGAAAGGGATAAGATTGTTGGGAATAGACCGGGGATGAGTGCAAGGGAGCCGAGAAAAGTGTCCTGCAACGACGATTCCACTTCTACTCGCAGTTTCGGTGCTTCTGGTCCAATCGATAATGCGGGCAGCAATTCCATCACCAAGAATCGCAAAAGCTCCTCTGTTCGAAAGTCAAAGAGCCCCAAAGGTTCTCACCGATCGAAGTCGCTGGATCGACTCAAGAGCCTAGGCGGCCGATCCAATTCTCTGGACAAACTCAAGCTGCTAGATCGCCGTTCAAATTCACGCGACAGCCTCAACTCTCGCAATCGCCAATCCAGCATTGATGATCTAATTGCCTTACAGCAAAGGGGGACACCAGCTAATCCATGGAATCGAATACGGTCGGCCATGTCGCTGGTTTCAATAGGTAGCCGCAGCAGCCAAGCAACCAAGGTTACCGATCCAGGGCCATCATCCAGAACTTCACCATGGAACAAACGTTCCACAAAGGAAAAGAGTTCCCGAGCTGGAAGGTTTAAAAGGTCTGGAAAATCGGAGCTATCACAGTCGGAGCATGGTGTCTATGGCACCGACACGAGACTCAGTAGTAGTGTGGGTACAAGCAGGACGAGCAAACTATCGAGGTTTTCCAGCAAAGAGAAACTAGCCAAACGAAAGAAGAAAACGAAAAAGAATACGCTGGGCCAATCGGAGCATTCGACGAGGGCCACCGATAGTCTTGCAATTGAACAGGAGCTGGGGACTACTGGCACCACAACAAAAAGGCGAGCGAAAGGTTCGAACACCAAAAGTAAATCGCCTGCCTCGTCGGTTTCAGGAATGCCACAATCCAAAGAAGACGAATCATCTCAAGATCTCTTTCAAGATTTCGTCAAAGAAATAAGGGCTATCAATCCCAGCGAAGACATATTTTCTTGTTGAGCACCCATGATGATGATGATGATGTTCCTGGCAATTATGTCTTGGGTTAAAGTACAGTATACTCGTACTGTAGAATCGATGAGGTTAATGGATAATTAAAATAAGTGTCAAGAGTGAAACTAATATTATCGGTAGGATATGTACCGGTACCTGGTACTGTAGATCGGACTTCATGAATTAAAAGAATAGGTCAGGAGTCAAACTATTAGTATTCGCTGCCGCAAAACCATAGTGGTTTCTAAAACATCTTCCCAATACTTATTGCAAGAGCAGAAAATTAATCGTGATCGTTCCCGCTTGCATGTCCGCCCTCGTGTTGGGCATAAATGGGAAGCCTTCTATTATTGTGTCGCACCATCGTAAAAAATTAAAAGACGCTCAAGAACACACTTCATTTTTCTTTGGCATCGCACCTTCCGAGTAGATGAATTATTGATATATTCAAAACAAGAACCCACCCAGCCTAGCTCTCTCTGATTGACGATATTGAGACTCCTGTTTCACACGACAACAATATCATGAAACAGACCCCACAAGATGAACTCCTTTTTACATCTGACTCATCACAAGAAGAGATTTCACGAATAGAACGGGGAAAGTCGTCACAGAATCAAAACTATGAAATAATAGAAGCATCCTCAGACGATGATGATGCTGATGATGCTGACGAAGTTGACACTCAAGATCAAGGATTTTCAATGTCTTCCTTTGGCCAAAGCAGTATGTCAATGTTAAACAAATCGAGAAGCTTCCTAGCAAATGCCGGTAGGCCATTACGAACGCCCACAATATTTGCTCCACGTAGTCCAAAAAACTACAGACCCCTCAGAAAAAGCCGAAGTGCGGATGACATGCTGGGCCCGAGCAACCATGGAGGCACTGAGATGGCATCATCTCCGCCTTCGCCACCTTCTTCGCATGGGAGATCACAATCTCAGTCGAGAGATGTCTTCAGCACGCCAAAATACCTGTCCAAATCAGATTTGATGATGAAAGGAAGCAGTCACCATACAGACGACACTTTCCAGTTCCCCAGTCCTTTTGCAGCACGCCATAGTATGAACTTTGGTGACTTTTCGCCATCTATCGATATCAATGAGTCTGAATCATCGGTTGCAGCAACAAATGATGACCCAGTGCAAAGAATAAGTATCAGAAGAATATCAGAAGGTGACGCTTTCCAAGCAATCTCAGATATCAACTTCTCATTCCACGAGTCCATGGACTTGGAGGACGTCTTCCCCTCGGTCTTTGATGATGATCCACATCGACCTTCTAGTTCCATGCCCGAAATGCAGAGTCCACTTCCCTTGCAGTCGTCTTCATCTAATGGAAAGAGCGGCAACGGGTCCAGAGGATCAAGTTTTGAACACGCGATGGCGATCGATCCTTTTGAAGACAGCTGCGTAGAATTTGCACCAATTTCACCCGCGAGAGAGCCAATGACAACATCAGCATCCTCCCAACTGGTGGATTTGGAGGCAGAGATGCAAGCTCTTCAAAAACACCATAGACAAGAAGTAAATGATTTGAGATTGGAGGTCGAAACAGGCAAACGAATCATTGGTTCGCTAACAAAACAAGTACAGGACTTGATGGCAAGGAACGAAAAACTATCTCGACAGAACGATAGGATGGCAAAGGAATCATCTGAAAGTTATCGCCATCATAATCGTCAAAAGAAAGTGGCCCGTATCGACATGATGGGACATGTCACTGAGTCACCAGACTCGAGTCCTTCCATACAACAACGACATAAAACAGTAACGACATCTGAAAAGAGACATTCAAAAGCAAAGGCAGCCAAACGAAAGTCCAAGAAAGGGAAGAATCACCGAATTAGTGCTGATGATGATAATGATATTGCCTCGACAAGTACTATTGAAACACTAATGTTGGACAATCATACAACTAAAAAGTCCAAGAAGCGCTCTTCCAAGGCTATTGGTACAACCAAGAAAAAGAAACCAAAGAGCAAGCGAAGCAGTAACAGGTTATCGACCTCGTCTGCTTCGTTAGAAGCGGATGAACACCCTTTGTCCCAAGCGAAGCTTCGACAATCGATGAAAGGTAAAACGCAAAGACATAGTATTGCAACAAGCTCACATGAAAAGGGGGTCAAAGGAACCAGAAGGTCGTCCTCTAGACTGTCAGAGACCCTCGAACACATCTGGGCCTTTGACTGGAAAGATCCAATAAAGCTGGAAGAAAAACGAGATTCTTCGCAAAAGCGGAATCACCAGACCAAATCCTTGACACATTTTAAGGAAAACCTTGAGTCTGTGGGAAAACTACCAAAGAGAAAAGGTAAACGCAAGACCAGCAAAGCTAAACAGGGTACCGGTACAAACGAACCACAAGATGATTCGATGAATCCCACTGATGCCAACCTCATAGCAACCACAGCAACGAGTCCAAAAAAAGCAAAAAAGAGCAATCGGAGTGCCTTTGAGGTAGTGACTCGCTTGCTCAGTCCAAAAGCTGAGAAACGACGGAAACGAACAAAGACAGAGCTGCTAGACTCGTCGCAAGCAGATTCGAATATGGTCCAGCTACCAGTCACCATTCCGGATTTGTAAATTAGAAATATAGAAAGAAAGGTTTGAAAGATACAGCATGTGCGTATTCTAGGATGATGCTATGGCTGCATCTACATCGTCGGGTGCCAAATCCCGTCCGAGTCTTCGTGTTTCGTTCAAAATGACATTCATGTCACTCGGTCTCGTTTTGTCACCACCCAAAGCAAGCCGAAAGAAATTTGGCAATCCGAATTCTTCGAGCGGTTGTTGTTGTACTAAACAGTGACCATAGTTTTTCATCCGGTCGAATAACATTTTGTGGACCATGGCCTTGCGCTCGTGAGAATATTCATCAGGATTGTCCTGAAAGAATGCAGGAATGTACCAATAGCACACATTGGTGCCCATGGGTGCAACGACAATATCAAAGTCATCTGCATCATTGATAAGGCGTGTCATGTGTTGTGCTTTCTCGATTTCATTGTCGGCAATCCGACGAAATCCATCCAAACCATGTTTCCGAATGGCCAGCCAAAGCTTCAGGGCATCCCCTTTTCTCCCACACCCCAAAGTTTTGTTGCCATTGTCGTACCCTCCATTCTGCGGTTGGAACAAGTATTCGGCATCGAGTCCGTTGCACTGTCTTAGTGCATCGGGTTTGTTGTTTGTAATGAGCATGGAGCATTGCTGCACGACACCAAGTCCCTTGTGCGGATTGAACGAGATTGAATCCGCTAGTTCAATTCCACGAAGGCGATTGCCTTGGTGTTCTGGCGACGCAAACGTCAAGAAGCCACCCCAACAGGCATCGACGTGTAGCCATAGACCATGTCTATTGCATATTTCGCGCAAGACGATAATATCGTCAAAGGCCCCCATCACGGTTGTCCCTGCCACCGCATTGACGAAGAAAGGTTTGTGTCCATTCTGCTTGTGCCATACTATGGATTCTTCCAACGCCTCTGTATTGATCTGGAAACTTTCTTCTTTGCTCGGAATCGATACCATCTGTTTGGCCCCCATGCCGCATATCATAGCAGCACTTCGAAGGGAATAGTGACTTTGTGCACCAGTAAAGGCAACCGGCTTGTCATTCTGCCATCCATCCTGCTTGACGTGAGGAAAATGTTCGTGACGGGCCAATAGCAGTGCCATTGTATTACTCATACTGCCACCAGGATTCAAGGTCCCGTCAATATTCTCTTTTTTGAGGCCAAAGTGTTTCCCAATGACTTGAATGCATTCCACTTCCATGACCGAGACGACCGGTGACACGTGATACACGTGGGTATTGGCATTCAAGACGGCAAGGACAAGTTCCGCAACTTGCCCGATTGGATCGGATCCAAAATAGAGTTTGTCAAAAAATAATGGATGCATGGTCTTTAGAGAATGCCGAAAGGTTGTTTTGATATCTGCGATGCAGTCGTCATTTGTCCCAGGAGCATATTGTTGACTGATGGGCCGTAGCCGAGAGGTGAGTTCCAAAGGCGTCAAGAACTCTTCATGTAGTCTAGTTTTTGTTGGGCTTCCACATTCATCATAGTATTTTAGAATCATATCCGTTACATGTTGCAAAAGATACTCGAAATCATCTTTTTTTTCTTGAAACTCTAATCTCAGGTCGGAAGGCGATTCTAGAGAGAATTCATGAGTCTACTTACACGTAGTCGACTGAAAGAGAGATCTATCGACTCGTACCTTCGTTTGTCTTTTGGTTGCTGCTCTTTCCACAATCCGTGAATTGGTTGGCATTAGCATCAGGTATCATGCACATCATTCGAATGAGATGATTTTAAAAATTGGCTGGATGACTGGTTCGACCGACCCGAAACTATACGAGTACCCCCAAATATTTGGAAATGAACTTTTGGATTCCAAATTTATGGCTCTCACGTTTTATGTTTGTGGTGACACACTGTGCCCATAACCTGATCCGAAGCCGGTGATCCGCGTGCGATGCGCGGTTATTCTTCCAAACGTGGAAATAATGATGACGCTGAACTGGATCCTGGAATGCGCAACGACAGATCGGAGGCGGCTATGCCGGAGGTTAGAATCAACAACTCGGTTGAATCTCGGTCTGAATAAATGAATCCGATAGCGGCGCTGAATGAGCCTCAGCTTGGAGAACGGATTATTGACATCAGATCAAAAATTTGTTGTTTCCACTGTCCTATCAATGCATCGCCGACTGCATGCGCACGTTTATCTCGCCCCTGCCATCTTTCTCTAATGTAGCTATCAGGACTCATTGGTTCCTTGGCGTCTGAAATGACCACTGAAACGACGCAAATGCTGAATCGACTTGGCATCATCGTTTTGAATTCGGTACCATGGTTTCAGAAGAAATCATAATTCTATCGGCTCGCTGCTTTTCGGTAGGTCCGCATGGCCGCCATGAAGCCAGAAAGTACTCAACAATATACCAGTTCCTTATAAGGATCCGTATAATAAGGATATAGTCGTATGAACTGGACGATATGACATGCTATAGTAGTAGGATCCAAGTAAGTCATAATCATACACAGTCTTTTACTTTTAGATGTACAATCTCAATCGATGCATCCGATTCAAAGTAAAGCATTAACTCCTAGCTTCTTTGAAACTATATATCCAATGGCCTTAGCAATTCTTCATGCTTCGAACGAATGGACTCGACCTTCAAATCCGATCCCCAACGCGAATAGAATTCGAGTGCTTTTGATAAAGCTTCTCTGGCCCCTTCCGTATCGCCTATTCCCAGCAAGTACTCTCCATATCGTTCAGATGCTAGTCCAGCATCGTTCACTCGCGGCATATGTTCGGCGGTCTTGATGGATTTCTTGTACAATTGACCAGCTTTCTTGTCGTTGCCAGCCAACACGGCAAGCTCTGCGTCCAAAAGGAGGTCAAGCTGTTTTACGTTCGCACAACCTTGGGCAATCCATCTCTTCACCTTCTTGCTGATGTGTTTTCCGAATCGTTTGTACTTTTGACATTGACGCCCAGAAGCAGAACGGGCACAATGCAAACAAGAGATGGCAGTATAGATCTCGAACCAAAAGCCAATTGAGTTCCCTGCATTTTGAATTGAGGCAGCCTGGATCTGATCCATATGCTCATCAGCATTTGCTTGGTGGTTGCCACAGAAAGCAAAGATTATCGCTTTGATTCCAAGTCGCAAGGCCCCATCTACAGTGTCAGGTGACGCCGGAGGCATGGCTGTCTCATCCATGGCTTCGCCCTTCAGCACAAATGGGTCTTCTGACTGCCCTTGCATGTTCAATACTCCTTGCCACAAAATCGTCATCAGACCAACCTGCCATCCACGATTCCTTCGCTGAAGACTTCGAATTCTGTTACGGGCCTCGGCTGCAGTAGACTTGAGAGAATGTCCACTAACAAGTGCATAGTAAAGCAGGAGCATGTTTGAATACAACGCCGCTTGGATGTCCCCGACCTGTAAACTATAATGATAATTCTCTTCGTAGCCCTTCAAAACCCAGCGGATGTCCCGGGTGTGACTCATCATACAGAGGACGTACATTCTTGACGCTGCCTTCGAGTAGCGGTCCTTCGAACGATCCATGATTCCTTTGGCAAACTTCCCGTGCGCATCAATCACCCTGAGATCGGTGGCGTAAGTTCCTCGAAAGACATAGGCATTGCCAGCTTCATCGCAGACTCCAAAGGTATTCACAAGAGATGCCATCTTCGAAGTAACTGTTGGAAGCTCTGCCTTGTTCGTCATGTATGTCAAAACCAACAACGTCGACAGGATTTTCATCGCTGATAGAGCATTTGCATCAGTCATCACTGGAAGGGTCGACGCCGTCTCTGGATTCAGATTCCTGTCGTAGTCTCTGACGATATTGAAGCGCTTGAAGATTGATTGTTTTCCTCCAGGTTTCATCAGAGGGTGGTCCAATTGCTCCAATACCTCGTAGCCAAGTTCTTTTCCAGCCTGTAGATCCCTTCCGGATAGAGACTCAAGCATTGCATAGTACAACGGGAGCCTATCCTTGAGCGGAATACCTGGCTGTCCCAGCACTTCGTCGTACAAGGATTGCATCGTTTCCACATTGTCGAGGACTCCATGCGCTTGGGTGGCTAGAGTATAAAGCTTCAAGGACAACTTGTACTGGGACTGCCAGTGGCCACCTGGAAGGAGTCCAATGGCAATGTCTGAGTAACTAGCGGCGATCTCGAACCCAGATAGTCTCATGGCTCGTTGCGCTGCCCGTAGGTTCAGCTCAGCAAAGGTGACAGCAGACGCGGACGATGATACCTCTGTTCCGATCCCGACATTCAGTAGATTTACCACAACAAACAAGGCCTGGTCCATTTCTTGTCTTGAAAGTCGACGCAGCAAGATTTTACCAACTTGGAAGCGCATCTTGGTGAGATCAGTACCACTGGCGATCGAAAGAGCTGCTTCTTGGACCTTATCGTGAATCCAGCGATATCCAACGTTGTCCATTTTGACGAAACCAGCCTCAACGGCCTTCGTCAACCATTTCGACAGCTGACCGGACTTGGGAGCATCTTGTTGGCTTGCAAAGTAATCGGTGACAACCCTGGACAAGACACTCTCTTGAAAGCTTGCACCTAAACATGCTGCGAGTTGGAGTACCTCTCGCATTCGCTTGGGCAGATTCTTCATGCGTTGCTTCAAAATATCCACCACGTTGTCGGTGGCAATGGTCTCCAGCTCAATCTCGGTTTCGTCCCACACCCAACACTTTTCAACGTTGGAGTATACCACGAGATGTTGATTCTTGAGCATGTCGATAAAATTCAATACAAAGAATGCGTTGCCTCCAGTCCTTCGGTGGATGATCTCTGACAGGTCGGACGTTCGATAGCTAGGCAGGTGTAGCAGATCCACCAAGATCTCGTCCACCTGCTGCATTTTGAGATCACCAACCTCAATCTTTGTAGTATCGAAATCATACTCCTTTTGCTTCTCGTCAAGAGTCTCGATCATCTTGCTGACCACGTGTGTCTGATCGACTTCGTTGGATCGGTAGAGGGCAATAAGCATAAAGTTGGAGCTGGATTCATCGGTCATCAATACTTGCATAAGGTTGATGGACGTCAAGTCGGCCCACTGGATGTCATCCAAGACCATCACTAGAGGCTTGAAGAAGGTTGCCACAGTGCGAAAGAAGGTACGAATCGCATTGTTGAGACGTTCCTTGTTGGCTCCAAAGTCGCCACCGGCGCTATCTTCCTGCGCCAGGAGGAGTTCAGACGAACCAACAATGTCTTCGATCTCGGGAAGGATCATGGCGAGTGTGGACAACTCTGATCCGACATTCTTCATGATCATCTTGCGAATATCTTCAAAGTCCATGTGCTCGGATGAGTTCTTACGATGCAGTATTTCACCGCAGATGTGGCGTCCAGCAGCTGCAATGCCAGCATATGGCTCATCGCGCAGCTTCTGGTCGAACTTGCCCATGGCGAAGATTCCATTCTTACTTACAACGGAATCGGCAACAGTGGCAGCAAGAGCTGTCTTACCAGTTCCTGAGAGTCCTGAAATGTATACAAGTTTGTTTTTTCCGGTAGAGACCAGATCATCGAGACATTTTCGAATCGTTCTCGTCTCCTTCTGGCGTCCGTATAATCCGAGCTGAGACATTTTGGTATCGAGCTCTTTTTCTTGACTCCCCTGGGAGGAATCGGCGTTTGAACTTGCCTCATTGCCAATCTTCGTCGTTGACGATGTGCGAATCGAAGTTGTGTCGTTGCCAGCAGAACTGAAGCTTGGTCTGCTCTCGTTGGCTTTCTTGGTTGTGGTTGCACTGGGAGATCCACTTCCTTGGACCGAGAAGGAAGCAGAACTATTAGCATCCAGTCCACCCATTTCGCCTGCAAATAAATCTGTGATTTTCTGATTTTTGTGACATCAAGAAGTGGAACAACCGATGAAATGGCTTCGGTGGGACCCCCTGAAGGTGTGTTCTTAATTTCGGAGCGGCGTCTTAGTCCCAACACCTTGTCATTCTTTTTCTCTAAATAAGGGCATCGTCATAGTTTCCCTGCCTTTGAGTGGCATTGGTAGATAGTACCAGTACACTTGTACCCGTACCAGCAGTTTCCGCTTGTTTATTTGAACCGTCTGGAACAAAAGCCCTCGTGCAGGTATGCTTTATCAGGTTTTTTACACGATTGGATTCTGCCACCATGAAACTCTTTGCCAGGAGGGCTAAATGGACCTGCTTCCTTTTTGTCACCAGTCTTGGGCCAATTCCATGTACATATTATATATAAAAATCGACTTCCTTGGACTATGAGCAGAATTATTCTATATTTCCTATGCGTGATTTCCTCATTTGGGAAACGCTCGGTGTAACAAGTTTTCACCGGATAGACTTTTCGTCCCTCCTCTATTTTAGAAAAGCTTCTGATCTGATTATTGGTTTTTCTCTTTTAATTACACCAAATAAAAAGGCTCTTCATCTTTTCATTGGTGTGCGTATCGATTTTCCGAAGCGAAGTCAGCACAAAATTAAGAAAGCGGGAATAAACTGCAATGGGGCATCCAGTCTTGGTGCTCATACCGTTGTCGGCTGTGCGCATGCTTGATATCTACAGTAGATGAGTCTGGAAATGACGAGAAAGCAGACACCAACGTGCCGTGAAGGTTGGAGGAAAAAGAATAAAGTATAAACCCTCTGCTTTCTGTGATTCAAAAGCATCGCAACTACGAATGCAAATAATATTAGCTAAACTGTGGACACCCGAACACCAAATACCAACCTATTTCATTCTCACATGTTCACACACAATAGTGACTTTGTGCCTCAGTAAAAGCAACGGGCTTATCATTGACATGGAGAAAACGTTCGTGACGGGCCAAGAGTAGTGCCATTGTATTGCTCATACTATACCACCAGGATTCAGGGTTTCATCAATATTCTCTTTTTTAGGCCAAGTTCCAATGACTTGGATACATTCCACATCCATGACCGAGACGACCAGTGACACCTGATATACATGGGCAAGGACAAGTTCCGCAACTTGACCGATTACGTCGGATCCAAAATAGAGCAGACTAATGGATACATAGTCTTCAGAGACTGCCTAAAGGTTGTCTTGATATCTTTCAGTCGTCATTCTTTATTCCAACAGAAGCATATTGTTGACTGACGGGACGAACCCGAGAGGTGAGTTCCAGAGGCGTCAAGAGCTCTAATTTTGTTGCGGGCTTTCACACTCATTATAGTATTGGAGAATCATATCCGTATATCGAAATCATCTTTTTTCTCTTGAATTTCCTCTGATCTCAGGTCGGATGAAGATTCTGAAGAGAATTCATGAGGTTATGATGACGCTGCGGACCGGATCATGGAATGCATAATGGTCGTATCATGATGCATGATCATGAACGAAAGATGGATTTGGAGGCAAGAAAGACGGTTACGTTAGCACAAGAAGGAGATAAGAATCAACAACTCGGTTGAATCTCGGTCTGAATAAATCTGATAGCAGAGCTGAATGAATGAGTCTCAAGCAAACAGATTATTGACGAAGGTGCGATCCAATCAAAAATTTGTTTCCACAGACCAATCAATGCATCGCCGACTGCACGTCAATCTCGCCCCTGCCCATCTTGATCCGGTGTAGTGATCAGGGCTCATTGGTTTTCTTGGCGTCTGAAATGACCACTGAAACGACTCAAATACTGAATCGATTTGGCATATAGCCATCATCTTCTTGCGGGTTCGATACCATATATGGTTTCAGAAGAAATCATAATTCTATCGGCTCGCTGCTTTTCGGTGGGTCCGCATGGTCGTCATGGAAGAAAAAAATTACTCAATAATATACCAGTTCCTTATTCTAAGGAACCTTATAATAAGGATAGAGTCGTATGAACTGAACGATATGGCATGTTATAGTAGTAGGATCCAAGTAAGTCATAATCATACACAGTCTTCTACTTTTATATGTACAATCTCAACAGACGCATCCGATTCACAGTAAAGGATTAACTCCTAGCTTCTTTGAAACTATATATTCAATGGCCGTAGCAATTCTTCGTGCTTCGAGCGGATGGACTCGACCTTCAAATCTGATCCCCAACGCGAATAGAACTCGAGTGCGTGCGATAAAGCGTCTCGGGCCCCTTCCGTATCGCCTATTCCCAGCAAGTACTCTCCATATCGTTCAGATGCCAGTCCAGCATCGCTCACTCGCGGCATATGTTCGGCGGTCTTGATGGATTTCTTGTACAATTGACCAGCTTTCTTGTCGTTGCCAGCCAACACGGCAAACTCTGCGTCCAAAAGGAGGTCAAGCTGTTTTACGTTCGCACAACCTTGGGCAATCCATCTCTTCACCTTCTTGCTGATGTGTTTTCCGAATCGTTTGTACTTTTGACATTGACGCCCAGAAGCAGAA